CAAAACGATAAACTTAGACACTTAGAATGACTCTGTTTCGACTGTCATGCTAAATGTTTGAAACCTTGAAAAATACACATAATTTGATTTCCCACCAAAATTCTAGATTTCACTGTTTTTTGATGACATTTTCCCAAAAAACGACTATCGAAACCCAAAAATGATGACCCTTCCAGATTATTCTCACTTTTTTGTTCATCCACTTGCTACCCTTTCGACGGTCATGCTACATGTATGAAACCTGCAAAAACACACAAATTGAATTGCAACACTTTTGCAGCCCCAAAAAAGTGGTTCCAACTGTCTTTGCAAGATACAATAGGGAACAACTAGGGAAATACACGGGGAAACTTGTAGTAACTACTGATCCTGGGATAAGGGTATGGTATGGTATGGTTTACCAGAAAGATGGCAAAACCTGTGAAGGGTCACCACTTTCAGCGTTACAAGCATATAACCAGATTATTTCCCTATGATTTTCCTATTATTTCCCTAGTTGTTCCCTATTATTTCCCTATTTTCCCCTATTGTTCCCTATTGTTTCTATTATTTACCTATTATTTCCCTCTTAGTTCCCTATTTTTGCCCTATTATTTCCCTATATATATAATTTCCTTATTTTACCCTATTATTGTCCCATATGCCTCCCAGGTTTCCAAAACGATAAACTTAGACACTTAGAATGACTCTGTTTCGACTGTCATGCTAAGTGTTTGAAACCTGCAAAAATACACATAATTTGATTTCCCACCAAAATTCTAGATTTCACTGTTTTTTGATGACATTTTCCCAAAAAACGACTATCGAAACCCAAAAATGATGACCCTTCCAGATTATTCTCACTTTTTTGTTCATCCACTTGCTACCCTTTCGACGGTCATGCTAAATGTATGAAACCTGCAAAAACACACAAATTGAATTGCAACACTTTTGCAGCCCCAAAAAAGTGGTTCCAACTGTCTTTGCAAGATATAATAGGGAACAACTAGGGAAATACACGGGGAAACTTATAGTAACTACTGATCCTGGGATAAGGGTATGGTATGGTATGGTGGTTTTACCAGAAAGATGGCAAAACCTGTGAAGGGTCACCACTTTCAGCGTTACAAGCATATAACCAGATTATTTCCCTATTATTTTCCTATTATTTCCCTAGTTGTTCCCTATTATTTCCCTATTTTTCCCCTATTGTTCCCTATTGTTTCTATTATTTACCTATTATTTCCCTCTTAGTTCCCTATTTTTGCCCTATTATTTCCCTATATATAATTTCCTTATTTTACCCTATTATTGTCCCATATGCCTCCCAGGTTTCCAAAACGATAAACTTAGACACTTAGAATGACTCTGTTTCGACTGTCATGCTAAGTGTTTGAAACCTGCAAAAATACACATAATTTGATTTCCCACCAAAATTCTAGATTTCACTGTTTTTTGATGACATTTTCCCAAAAAACGACTATCGAAACCCAAAAATGATGACCCTTCCAGATTATTCTCACTTTTTTGTTCATCCACTTGCTACCCTTTCGACGGTCATGCTACATGTATGAAACCTGCAAAAACACACAAATTGAATTGCAACACTTTTGCAGCCCCAAAAAAGTGGTTCCAACTGTCTTTGCAAGATATATATAGGGAACAACTAGGGAAATACACGGGGAAACTCATAGTAACTACTGATCCTGGGATAAGGGTATGGTATGGTATGGTGGTTTACCAGAAAGATGGCAAAACCTGTGAAGGGTTACCACTTTCAGCGTTACAAGCATATAACCAGATTATTTCCCTATTATTTTCCTATTATTTCCCTAGTTGTTCCCCATTATTTCCCTATTTTTCCCCTATTGTTCCCTATTGTTTCTATTATTTACCTATTATTTCCCTCTTAGTTCCCTTTTTTTGCCCTATTATTTCCCTATGTATATATATAATCTCCTTATTTTACCCTATTATTGTCCCATATGCCTCCCAGGTTTCCAAAACGATAAACTTAGACACTTAGAATGACTCTGTTTCGACTGTCATGCTAAGTGATTGAAACCTGCAAAAATACGCATAATTTGATTTCCCACCAAAATTCTAGATTTCACTGTTTTTGATGACATTTTCCCAAAAAACGACTATCGAAACCCAAAAATGATGACCCTTCCAGATTATTCTCACTTTTTTGTTCATCTACTTGCTACCCTTTCGACGGTCATGCTAAATGCATGAAACCTGCAAAAACACACAAATTGAATTGCAACATTTTTGCAGCCCCAAAAAAGTGGTTCCAACTTCCAACTGTCTTTGCAAAATATAATAGGGAACAACTAGGGAAATACACGGGGAAACTTATAGTAACTACTGATCCTGGGATAAGGGTATGGTATGGTATGGTGTGGTGGTATACCAGAAAGATGGCAAAACCTGTGAAGGGTCACCACTTTCAGCATTACAAGCATATAACCAGATTATTTCCCGATTATTTCCCTATTTTTCCCTATTATTTCCCTATTTTTCCCCTATTGTTCCCTATAATTTTGCCTGTTTTTCCCCTATTGTTCCCGGAGAAACATGAAGAAACCACATTCTAAGTGTTGAAAACCTTCTAAATATCAGTAAATTAAAAAAATTGACCGGTGCAGAATTTTTTGATGATGTTTTTGCATCATTCTAAGTGTCAAACCGTTCGCACATAGCGTGGTGGGATGATTATTTCAAAAGTAGAAGGTGCCCAAAACGTGAGTTTTGGCTTCTCCGGTGGGGCGGCGGTTTCCAAAGCCACATTCTAAGTTACAGATGTGCCATATAATTAATTAATCAATCAATCAATCAATTAATTAGTTAATTAATTAATTACTATAGGAAAAGATGGCTTACTGGCAAAAATCACTTGGAATCTGTGGGAATCTGTGGTGGTCGGGCCTTGAATTTTTGATACCGGGCATTGTGGTGACGAAAAAATGGAAGGCCAACGCGTTTTTGGTGCGCTGTCAGAAGCAAAGTCTTCGCTTTGAGATGGAAATCTCTCATCTCGATCATTTGGAATCGAAGGGACACCCAGACCCACGGGGGCACTGGAGGGGCACTGGATGACTCAATTCATCTCCAAATGTTAAGTATTGACAGTTGAGCACCACCAGAAAATTGACGTATTACGCAAGCCTTTGAATTGTTGTGTACAAGATCTGTTCATTAATCATCATCTATCATTCGATCATCTATCATCACCTATAATAATTTATCATCATTGACATCCATCATCATGTAGTCGATTTGTCTACTTTGGGACAATGTGGTACGTACGCTGAGGATTTATGTGGTACGCTTCAGGCGAGCCGCTGGGGAGCTGGGATGCCCAGGAAGAATCCAGCTCGCTTGGGTGCAACACTCCCACTGGAAAATCCACCAGGGAATCTACAAGGCATATTTATGGAAATGTTGGATATTTTTGCATTTTTTTTCCTTTTTTTTTGGGGGTGTTTTTTTGGATTTGTGCCCCTGGATGCAAATTGAAGTTTTGTTTTTGGCTTTGGAAGAGGTTTGGAGAGAAATGGTTTGGTGGTGACTTTTTGCAGTAGCTAGAGTCTTCCCTTTCTCGTGCGAATCTCGTATACGTTTCAGGAGCTTGCAATTTCTTGGGGTCAAGAGATAAACGTATTTTCTGCATAAAATTTGGACAAGAGACGGCCAAGGCTGACAACCTACAAGGAACTCTGCTCCAAAGTTCTCGCAGAGATGAAAATTTGAGCGCCGCCAACGTATGCGGCGAGGTATGTTTTCAAGCCGGAGCCGAGATAGCTGGAGGGCACAGAACTTTTTGTAGCATTTTTGCAGCACTTTTTTGTTGCATATTATTATCAATCTTATCATGAACTACTATCATTGCTACTATTATTTAGTAGCATTATTGGTATTATTACCATATTTAGCATTATAACTATTACTAGTATTATTTCAATCATTCTTCTATAGCATTTGTCTGTGATGAATTTCCATGTGTTTTTGCGTTGTGTCCTCCACATTTTGGTGTAGAAACCTTGGATAGAGCAGCTGGTAGGCCAGCAGGAGAGCTGGAGAGTTTCCCTGCCAGCCGCTGAATGGTGGACCTCAGGGTCTGAATTCAGGAATCCGCTAGAAATGGTGGTTTCCTAAAATGGGGTCTCCGGGGTTCAAATTAGACCATTTCAGTATTGAAACCAATGGTTTTGGTGTACGCCCATTTAAGGAAACCTCTAGATCTCTAGAAATCGGCAAACTGGACGATTTTCCTTCAGATTGGCCATCGCCCGAAAGCCAACATAGATCGATCCACCGTCTCACATTGGTCTCACGTTTGGCTAATGCCTTTGTGCAGCTGTGTCAAATCTAGGCTTCATGGTACAGCCAAAGGGACAATGCAGGGCCCAAATATAGCTGAGAGTACTTGCAGATAACGCAGATAACCCTAGCTGGAGGTATCTGTAGCCTTATAAAAAACCATTTATAGGGTTCATCACTGGCCCCATCATTGACGTACCAACCATTGACACCCGACACAGCTGCCGTTGTGGACACTCATTGCCAGGTAGCCAGGTTGAGCTGCTGAAATTTGCAGCCGAAGGTCCTTAAACCCCTGGACTTCGCAGCTGGCCATCCACAACATGCGCCAAAATCCGGACGCTGCCATGTGCAGCCCATGAGATTTGGGTGGGTCAACACTTGAGGATTTAAGGGTTCATAATCTACACAGGGATTGGTTCTATTTATATAGTATCAACCAAAAGAACAATGTGGGGTCCTTGTCCCCAATTTTGACCAGTGAGTCGCTTTTCTTGCAAGCTGCGTTAACTTGGTCAGAAACCTTGGTCAGGCTGAACATAGCAGCCATTTCATAGCCTGAGAATATTGCCTAAGCTGCAAAGAGAATGTGCGGACAATTTGCACCCACAAACTTCAGACTGTTTGTTCAACTTTGCCATCCCACAGCATGAAACCAAATTCATCAGCCATTGATCCATCAGCTACCAGTCCCAAGATGCAGCCCATGCAGCCTGCTCCACAGAGTGCGAATGGCATTCAGTATGGACCGCAGGACTTCTTCGGGCAGGGGAACAGGCCCTGATGAAGGGCTGGTCACCGGCTGGTCCTTTCGGTCCTTTCATGATGTCCCCATCCCCAATAAGATCATCGCTAAAATCACAGCAGGTTTCGTGAGGATCATCATGGTGTGAACTCCATCTGGGTATGGGTCAATACCTATGAAAATACAATTTTTAGTGGGATGAACATCCATAAATCCCAGCTATTTTGATGTGAACAGAAGGGGGATAGGGTTTTGACCCATCCCCATCTGGAGGAGTTCGAATTTTATCAGCAACTCTTTGCCATCGCCAGCCCAGACGGTCGGGATGCTCTGGATCCAAACGTTGCTGCCAATTTCTTGGCAGCGAGCCACTGAGATGAAGCACAAGTCTGGGATTTGGTTGAAACCAATGGATTCATTTGGGACCCCATTTGCTTGTTTTTAATTTTCCAATTCGTAAATCCACCAAAAAAGGAGAATCTACTGGGGAAGCTGAAAAAGATTTTCATAGCCAAGCAAGTCCAAGGCCAACTTTCACAGGAAGTGCTTCACCAAATCTGGCATTTTGCTACATCTCTGCAAAGCTATACCCAGCAGTATTTGACCACCGAAGGCTTCTTCATTGCCTGTCGTTTGGTGGCCTGGGCCCAAAATGGTGGCCTTCCTATGGACATGGTCCATGCCCATCAGCCGCCCCCCTTGCTGCCCGAGTTTCCGGGACTTCAGCAGCCGCCATCCTCGATGGGATCGCCTCCACAAAGTATGGGAGGTAGCGAGGTATCGGACATGCAACCAGTGATTCGTCTCCAGCACCATGGCTGGTGATTTCGACTCAAAATCCTCAAAATTGGAGGAACATCCCAACTTTGTCCTTTTTAGTGGCATTAAATTGGGACAGTCACCAGGGTAGCAGGGCTTTGGACACACACAGACGCACATAGATAGTGACAGTTAATCTTTGTCCAGTTGCGATATAAACAGTGCTACTGGGATTCCCATCGAGTCCATCATGGTAATCTCTACCAATCGGTAAAATGTGGCACATTGTGGCACATAATCACAAAAAGGACGGCAACAAGCTGAATGTTCCCAATTCTTTTGGGACTTTTGTCAGGATTTGACGTCCATTTCATATATTTCATCCCATCCTCTTAGGTTTCCGTTGTGTCCCATGGCATCCGGCATCCCGCGGCCCAGGCAGGCAGCCCCATCACCACGGGGCCGATCCCCCTCGCCACGGAGAAGCTTCACGGCAGAGCGCTGGGCTCCTTCCAGGAGAGAAAAGCGAAAATACGCCTCCTTGTTTAAAAGGACCCGTGGCAGTGATGGGTACAGTACCCTAAACATCCCTAAAGCCATTGATAGTTGATGTAGCTATTAAAGATGGTGATTTTCCATAGCTATGTTAGTTTACCAGAGGGTGCATTGGATACATCTTTTTCATTCTTTTGAAGAGTCTTCAGAGATTTTTTTTGTGGAACTTCTTTTTTGACCACCTGATCAGACCTTGACTTTTGCACGATTTGGATTCCTTTGGAGCCATGTGCGCGCTCCCGTTGGTCTCGGGATTTACCCTCCAAGTTATGGCCAATTTGAATGAGGAGAGAATGATGCTAGATAAACTACACCAAACATCGCTAAACTATACTAAACTATGGGATTTCTGAAGACCCTATTTTTTTGACAAAGCCTCATATATTCAATGTCATAAACCCACCGTTAAACCACCAAATCTTGCCGTGTGGTGGATCCATCTTGGGTTTCGCAGAATGCTTCAAAAATTGGGGTGCATTGTTGGGTTTGCTACAGTAGTGGACAGCAGTTGGTCATATGGCGCTTTTTGGGTCTTGATGGGGAATCAATCCCAAAACCAGCCCCAAGTTCAAGAGATACCTTGTAGAGACAGTCCAGCGGTTCAGCATAGCTGGGACATTCGAGTGAGGAAGGGAACATGATCATTTGCCAGGTGCCATCCCGACAAGCCATTTGTTCAAATTTGACCATTTGCGCACACCCACAGGCGCTGTGGGTATCAGGATCAAGCAAATTGAGTTGATCTTAAAAAACATGTCATTTTTTGGGCTTCTGAACTTTAGTTTTGGCACATCCATCTCACATAGCAGACACAGCTATCCACATTGACATGGCTGAGGACCGATTGGGATCAGGATGGCTTCATCCAGGGCCCTGAAGCCTGGCAGTTGCTGGAACGCTCGCGATTGGATCCCCAAACCCTCCAGCAGATTTTCGAGCTGGCGGATGGAAGGTGGATGGGCAGATGGGCCGAAAGTGCTTCACCAATTTCAAGACACCCAAAGAAGAAATCTTCTTTCAAACCATGATATCCCATAAAAAAATGGTGAAAGGGGGAAACTAGGACAAGAGAGGTTGGAGGTTGGTTGGGAGGTTGTTATGTTTTTGTTCAATATTGTAAATCTAAATGTTTGACTGTTTCTTTTTGATTATCTTGCTAAATGTTTTGTTGAGGGTGTTGTGATAATGTTTGGATTGAATGGGGGTAGGATTTGTTTAGGTTGTTTGGATTTTTGTGTGATGTCTTGTCCGTACGTCAGTGCGGATTCATGTGAGCAGCTGATTTTCCTGCCTTGTGCCTTTCTGGATTCAACCTGGTCAACTTCAACTACTCATGGCCAGGTGCTCAGAGAGGCTTGCTCACGGCGTATGATGTTGGATGTTATGCAGTCAGTGTCAGCGAAAGCATGGGATCTATGGAAATTTATGGATTGGTGGCTCAAAGCAGAATCAAATTTGCGCAGGTTTGATTTGAGACAATCTTAATATTGTTTTGTGATCATGGTTGTAGTCTTCATGCAGCACGACCTATCCGCAATTCCCGACCGTGCCGGCAAAAACCAGAGTACAGCCGCGCTGACAAATTGCAATGGCCACTGGCAGCTTTGTACAGGAGATTGCGGCCGACATCATGCACCACCTGCCAGAGAATAAAAAACGTAAGTGTCAGTCTCTTCTTGGCTTACTAGAAAATCACATCGAGACCTTGAAAGCAAATGCTTCAAATGCTCAAGACCACATCAAGACCTTGAAAGCATATCATAGGGTGTTGGAGGAGGCACACAATTCATCGCTGATACAACTTGCGCAATACAAGGCTCTGTATGCCACTCGCCCTTTGCTGGAGATCGGTTTGGCAGAATACATGATGCAGAAGCGATTTCCGCTTGACTCCACAAACACTTGGCTGACACAGCAAGTCCATAAAGAGTTTGTGTTTGATGCTGACACAGAGCTCAGCGACTTTGCAAAGAAGAAGATAAAGTTCCTGAATGCTCACTTTGGATGGAGTATTCGTGAGGACGACCAATCATTTCAGGAGTATTTGTGGAACCTTTATGGAAAGTTCTCAGAGAGGCACCACGGTTTGCCACGTTCAGAGGAAGGGTCTGGCTTTATCATATCCGGTGACTCAACCTATATGACTGCAGCTGCAGTCGTTTTTGCATGCGCTCTGCGCCATGCAAGGTGCTTGCAGAATATCCCCATTGAAATTGCACCAACCGAGGACAAGCTCTGCATCAGTTGCCATGGACACATCCGGTACAGGAAATAGCCTTCTGCAAAGGTAGGATAGCTTCACATAGCTTCTCTGGTACAGTGCTCCTTAGAAGGTTTTATTTGTGCCGCAGTTCAGTTCAGAGATGGATTCATTGATGAGCTGAGCAGGCAAGAGCGCCAAAGACCGCTTGATTTAATGCGTTCATACATGGTATGAAAAAGTGCCACCTTGACAGCTGATTTCACCGTTCTCCACAACTTTCAAGCTGTCATTCCACTAGGAACTGAGCCACTCAAAATCTGACAGGCAAAGGGGAATGCTCTGAGGATTTTGCCCTATTTTTCTTCAAGGTGTTCATTGGTTTGGGGAGAGGCTGCACGCAAGGACTCTTGAAGCACAGGTGTTACAGTCCGCTCTGGGAGCATAGCGGTATGGTATGGGAGCACATTAAAAATGTTTTCATCATTTTTTCCGGATGCTCTGAGAGCATAGGGGGATGCTCAAAAGGAGCATATGCTGTTGTAGGTATGCTGTTTTTGTGCATTGGGGTATGCTCTGGAAGCATCGGTTGCCACCCAACACCCTGATTTTCCATGTTTTCATCCAGACAGTGATGAGCCTGATGTCATGATGTTCATTTTTATATATAATATACTTTACAAAATTTTTGATGCTAAAGATTTCAATTTCTCTCTCGTCGCTTTGTTCTTTTCCTCCTTGGCTTTGTTGTAGGTGTCTCTGGCGGACATCGCACTTTGTAGTTCTTCCTTTATTTGTTTTACAAGGTCGCTTTTGAATGCCTCTGGGTCAAAAGGTGGTTTCGCCCTTGACGGTCTTACCCTTTTGGGTTTTGGGACTACCGTTGCTGGTTGCGGTTTCTCTTGAACGGGTGGTTCAATTATTTCTTCTGGTTTCTCCTCTTCCTTCGGTGTTTTTTCCTGTGTTGGTTCTGGTATTGTTTCTTCCTTGGGTTCTTCATTATCAATCTCTTTTACGACTACCTCTGTCATATATTAATATTATAGATAATTTTTTATACTTTCAAATCTCGTGCCTCAAATACGGTTTGTTCAATCCTTCCAATTTGAAGGTTCTGTTTCCGACGTCATCGTATTCTATCTTGACGATTTTGTAGGATTGATTGCTCCACTTTGAGTTATACTCCTTCCTCTCGGTGTAGTTGTCTTTTTTCTTCTCAAAGACCTTGACCATATCATTCACTTTGACCTCTGGATATTTGCGAGTGTTCTTCTCCCTCTTTGTCAAATTCACCCTGACGTCCATATGGTTCTTGTCATTGTGGGCATCCTTGGGTTTCATTTTGGTGGATGAATGGACGGTGTCGTTATATTTATCTAACGCTTTGGACAACATCACAGTCCAACTACCACGATTAAACCTAACCCTATCGTGTATCATATTTTTCATTGTCCTTATGAAACGCTCCACAACATTAGCGTGTGTTAGGGTGACGACGTGAGTGATGCCTTCTTTCTCAAAAAAGTCTTTAACCCCTGCTTGGAAGGCACGGTCATTATCACTATAAACGGACATTGGAAAACCCATTTTGTTGAAACTTTCTTTCGTCGCCGATAATGTGATTGGTCCAGATTTTTCTTTCATGGGGACGACGTTTGCCAACTTGCTGAAGATGTCAATGGCCACCAACCCGTATCTTGGTTCGTCGTTCTTGATGGGATTTTTCGTCTCTGGTTCTTTGGTAAGGGGCTTCATATCCATTATGTCAATCTGGAACTCATAACGACTGAACCGAGCAGTGTAAGAATTAGACCCTCTATACTTGCGTATTTGTTTGTTGGGCTGTTTCCTCATAAACTCTTTAACATCTACCATATTGATTGTTGGGTCTTGTTCCTTTGCTTTTTTGAGCGTTTCATTCACTGAACCGAACCCGCTTTCCAAATCATAATATACATTGCTTATAATCTGGTCTTTTGTCAGTCTCCTTGCCATATATTATAGTATTAGATTTAAAATTATCAACACTGAAAAAATATACTTAAAGAACAAATACCTATTTATAGTAAGACTAAATAAGATGACTAAATTTGACTGTTGATGCCGTATAATGAGTGAGTGTATCAATCTAAACAGTGCCGGCTACAAAAAACCTAACTGGGGTCATTTGCTTAAAACTTTTGTAAATGTTTGTGGAAAGTGTGGCAAGAAACAAATGAAATTCCAACAGATGAAAAACAAACTTCTGGAAATGGAAAAACAACGAATGGAAATGTTTATGAACTATGAGGATGAAGAGGAAGACGAGTATGACGAAGAATATAAAAAACAATTCCGACAAATGACGGACGAAGAGATTGAAAGACATATCGTTTTGGAAAAAGTGAGAAATGTAATGGAAGGGTTTGACAGAGAACACGGTATGGATAAAATCCGAAGGATGATAGAAGAGATAAACAATGAAGACAAAGAAGCAAAACCTGAAGAGGAAAAATATGAAAGTGATAGTAGCGAAACACAACGAACCAAACGATTACAGTGGATAAGGGACAACAGAAAACCCAAAAACTGAAAGAGACCCCAAAAACTACTGAAAAAAAAATTACCTATATATAGTAAGGGGATGCTATTTACTTATAAAAATTGTGGATGTTGTAAGAAAGAAATGGCTAAAGTAAAGGTTTTATTGAACAACATTTTCCCCGCTGGAATTTGTGATGAGATATGTAATTACAACCTTCACTGTTCTAAATGTAAAGAATTGAATGATGAGGAAAACAAATACATAAATCAAAAATATAGATACAAAGAACTAACAATACCAGAACTACAAATAAATTTCTTCAAAACACAAATGCCAACACCAATCTATTTGTCTAACACCTGTCGGGTGAATTTAAGAACATTCAGGAAGGAGATAGACAACGTGATGGATACTGATAGTTGTAAAGAACAGTTCAAAAAGAACAAACTGTTTCTGTCTGCTGTCAAATCATATGTAAAGAAGGAATGGAAATACACACACCACATTATGGAGGAATTCCACGACCTTGAAAAAATGAAACTTTTTAGACAAATGCGAGTTTGGTGGTTTCCTGATGGTGAAAGGTATTATGTTTAGAAATAGGGAATACAAGATAAAAGACCTTTGGGAAGTCTTCTTGCGTGAGTATATGAAGCAACTTTTAAATGGTTATGAAAACTACTGTAATCTAACAGGAATAAAAGAGCACCTACAAAAAGTGATAAATACTTAAAGAAAAAATACCTATATATATAGTAAGAGAAAATGAGTAGAGCAAAAATTGAGGTTATAGATACAGGGAATATTGGTATATATGCTGACTTTGGTAGTGATAGTGAGGACGATGCTTGGGAAAGAAAACAAATAGAAAAAGAAGATGAAGAGATTAGAGACTTTGTAAAGTGTCATCCTATGCCTTCACCAGATGATGAGGAAGGAGAAAAGTTTTGGAAGAAAGTAATTGATAGGATGAAAGAAGCAGAAGGAGTAAATGGAATGATAGTATATTCATTCGTAAGATTTGATACAATGAAAAAGATGTATGAAAACCTCACTGATAAAAAAGTCATCATTGATTGTGGTAAGGAACTTAACAGAGATGGAAAATTCAACGCTATGATTATCAACCTAACGCTTTTATCAATAGCAATGGATGAACTAAATGATACAAACAAACCTTGCTTAACACAAATGAGAGTGATTGAACACTGGTGGGATGGAATAGGAAAGTGGAAAGCATAAATTATTAGTTCATAATATCTTAGCAAAACATATTATGAAGTAATCACCCATCCAAACACAAACAGAAAACCCCAACAGCCTAAACAAATCCTACCCCCCATTCAATCCAAACATTATCACAACACCCTCAACAAAACATTTAGCAAGATAATCAAAAAGAAACAGTCAAACATTTAGATTTACAATATTGAACAAAAACATAACAACCTCCCAACCAACCTCCAACCTCTCTTGTCCTAGTTTCCCCCTTTCACCATTTTTTTCCCATTTATACATGGGTTATACTCATAACATATCTGGAATGGGTCAACGTGCTGCTACACTCCAAAACGGCTTCATGAGTGTCAACCGCTTCCATGGTTTTGATTTGCGAGGTCCCGAGATGGCAAGTTGGACTTTCGGGAGTTCGTGTGCATGGTGCACCTGGTGACCTGTCTGTTGCGAGGAGCGCGGCTGAATCCGCAGGGCTTGGAGCCTCAGCTGCAGCAAGCCCTGATGCAACTGGAGCCCTTGGAGCTGTTAGCCTCCGAGCGAGAAGCCAGCCGCAGCAGGCCGGCCAGTCGTCTGAAGGGGGGCCTAGGGGGCATTGTTTTTTGGGGTCAGATTTTTTTTCTTTCGGATTTTTAGGTCTATACCTTTTTCAGACCTGCAGGAGTGCCTCACCAATTCCACCTGTGGCGACGGAAGAAGTTCCACAAACGCAAGCATTCTCGGAGGTTCCAGACTTCCAGAGTGCATGGAACCCTGGTGGTGGAGCACCGGATGGGGCCTTCCCCTCAGATTTTCCGCAAGACTTCGGGGACTTAGGGACCCAAAACTTTGGCGACTTCCAAGATGGTCAAGATGGCCAAGATCTTGGCCAGGGTTTTGGAGGTGACTGGCCAGATTCTGGTGAAGGAGAACGGGAAAAGAGCAAAAAAGACAAAAAGGAGAAGAAAAAGAAGGACAGAATGACTTGTTGCTGGGGCTGGGTCCAATTGGTTCTCAATGAATGGGCAGTACAGCTGTCGCACTAGTTCCCAGCCTTTTTGATAGCGGGATTCCAAGTTCCCTTCATTGAGTAAGTTTGCTGAGCCTTGAGGATAAGAAAGACAAGGACAAAGAGCAGGACAAAGGCATGGATGCCATGGATGCCATGGATGCCATGAATGCCTTTGGTGCGCCCACAGATTTTGGCCTGGGCTCTTTCCAACCAGACCCGCTAGCTGCTGGGGATTCTTGGGGCATGGAAGCTCCGCAGTTTGATGATCCCTTTCGAACTGCAGAATTTGAAGATGTGGCGGGCTTTCCTGAGACTTGTCTATAGTCCAACTGACTTGACAATTACAATTTCTTTCTGTCTTTCTTAATGTTTAAGTTTCTCAGCCAGGTTTTGGAATGTTGATCTGGGTCAATACTCAACCAACACAGTCTGCTCGATTTTGTAGCGTTTTGTAGCAATGCCGACCAACCCCATCTTGGGTAAGACCCATGATCATCTCTGTTGCCTTTTTTTTGGCGGGTAAGGAGAATGAGAAGGTACGACATCTTCGCTCCGTGGTGGCTACTGACAGGGCTTTGGCTCATGAACTTCGTCGCGAGGTTGACCATTTGGATAAAAACCTCCGGCAGTTGCAAGAGACTGATGTGAAGCTGGAGCAACTCCTCTCAAAGGACTTAAAAGCGGGCCAAAATCATCGGAGATGACCGGAGCAGCGACTCGTTTTCTTAAATCAGGACTTTTGGAAAATAGGACAACAATGGACAACATGTGTCACGGCCATAGATTTTCGTGGTTTTGGTGGGTCAGCAAATAGAACAGCAAGCAACGCAATGGACACAAATTGCCAGTCACCAAGAACACTGGGTTAGCCCCAGCTGAAAAGGCACCTCACAGGTCCAAGATCTAGGCTTGCGGCTTGCAGTTATTTTGTGAAACATGGAGGATCTTCCATGTACTTCTGACATTTTCAAGTACACTATATAAGCATTATTAAAATCCATGTCAATCACAGTCTTTGCAATTTCCGAACATTTCCGACAGAGTTTTGCACCTGTCCAGAAAACTGCGAGGATGCCCAGGAAGTTCAGATGCTTCATGCACACAAGCAAGCCTTGGAAAGGGATTTGGAAGATGAAAAGCAACGCTTGGCGCAACTGCGCGAGGCACGCAACAGTGCGAACCATGAAAGTCTGGCCTTGAGACGTGATCGCAAGCATTTGATTGCAGAGCTTCGATTCTTACGGCATATGGCTGAAGAAGAAGAAGGATTGATCCTGGTGCTTCAGAATTCCAATCAATATTTGGAAGCTTCTCGTGGAACCTTAGAAGCGAGTTCCGCCGCATTGGCCAAGATCTCTGCGGAACCTCAGTGCAAGTCATTTGATTGGCTGACCCCCAACAATTCTATGTCTAATTCCAGTGGTGCCTTTGGTTTGTGGGGAAATTTGAGATCAATGTCCGCTGGTGCATATATCTGAGGAGCCACTGAGAGATTTTTTGGTCTCGCACGCTCTTTCCAACTTTTCTCTTCCAGTTTCTTGATCCATTTCAGGTTCCCCACCCGCTAAAATCATGGTGGTTGATGGTGAGTACTATTCAATCGGAATGGGTTTATGTAGTGAGAATTCTTGTACTCCACAAACAAAAATGGCCATTGCCCATGACTACTACCAACTTCGACTAAGATTTCAGTGTTTCTTCTATGGGAATCCTGCTTTCAGCTAAAGAGCAGAGAGCAGGGTTGTTCTTGCAACTGAAATCGCTTCATTGAAAAACAGCACTTTTCTAAAAGTCTGTATAAGCCTTAAGCCAGGGTAAGCCACAGAAATCAGTACCTTTGCCTCAACTCAGGAGTTGCAGAATCAAATTTCCACAGAGAAGGACCAGCTGCAGCTGGACTCTCAGCGTTGTGCCGAGCTGCGCACGCAGCTGGTGCAGTTGCAACGCACGGAGCCTGCCGCTTCGAAGGCCGGGCCGGCAGCGCCGGTAGCGCTGGTCGCGGTGCCACTGGGACCCAGGGCGAGTCCAGTGGTCATGGGGCACCGGGAAGGGGTGTAGAAGGGATGAAGGTTGATGATCATATCCGACACCCCTTAGCATTCATTCATATTCATTCACCCAATTTCACATATTTCACTTAATATATATATATTATTATGATTATAAATTATACATAGGCGTATATATATATATATACGTATTAATATACAATGTATAGTTATATACACAAATGAACATCTTCATTTTTTGGATTCTTTCACTTGAAAACTGCTGCTATGGATTGGAAAGACTGACCTTCTTTCCAAGCAAAGCAGTGGCTCTGCAGTATCTGCAGTGCATCAGCCGCGGAGCTGATCGACAATTGTCTGTCCAAAGTGACATTCTGCCAATGCGATCATCGAGAAAGTTGTGCTTTTGGTTATCGGACTTGGCACCAGCACAATAGTGGACTGCGCCTCTTTGAATATCATGGAGAACCACTGAATGCATTCGACTTGGATGCGAGCCGAAACCTGCACTTTCTATGACGTGATTATTGGTCGCACAATTCGGTTATAAACTGAAAGCCACAACACAGGCCAAGCGTGTTCAAAAAATATTGTAAGCATTGTAGCACTAGTAGGACCTAATAGTGTACTTCGAATTCCCCCCAACGGCTCTGTGAGACAATTGACATCAATTGACAAAGACTTGGATCCTCAGTGCAGTGAATGGATTGCAGAATTTGCAGACCTGCTGGGAACGCTGGCTCCAGAACCAACGGGTTCGCACTTATGGATAGCATATTTGGCGCTACTCAAAAAGTGATAGCGATACCTCCAATGTGCAGACACGCACCCAACAACCTGCGGGCACCGCATCCACAGAGACGTCATCAGCCTGAACACAGCCTTGCGAAAGCATTCATTGAAGCCTGGGATATATCTCTAATGTAAGTAGAACCACAGACACAAAAAACACAGGGACAGAAACAGTTACACTTGGAACCTCTTCCTTTCCTTTTTCGAACTCTCACAGAGAAGCTCCTCGATCGTCAACTTTGGTCACATTTGTAGTCACAGACTGTACTAAACACATATTATGGAGCTTGTCATTGGTAGCTTTGAGGGGTTCCATGAGGGGTGCCATGAGAGACCTTCCATGAGAAGCTGAAATGGGTTTAGTGCTTAGCTCTGTGCGGATCTTCGATCTCAACTTTGCCTTTGCTGATTGGCTCTCATATGCGGATGTATCGGGATGTATGGGGTACAGGTATATAAACTCTACATACCCACTATTCATTGGATTTCATGGGAAAATTTACAGGACCTCCCCCATATTTCATAGGAAAACACCATGGGTTTCCTGTAGATTTTCCCTTACACCAATCATTTGCTCCGAGGATTTGCTCACAATCCAGTCTCCGTGCAAGCCGTGGGTTGGGCAGAGGATCAAGGCCGACGCCCAGAGATGGAAGATGGCTTTGTGTTTGTGGACCAGGCAGGGAACGGACCAGGTGTGACAAACATGGGGCCAACTACGCGCCTGGGACTCATGTTTGATACGGGCCAAACATTGGGCGGTGATTTAATCCATCAGCGTCCTTCACCTGGCAGTTTGGTGGCAGCAAGCGCAGTGCCTTCTTCGCGGTCTATGATGGGCATGGTGGGCGGCCAGTGGTCCAGTCCTGAGGGAAGATGTGGGATGGTGGGCATATCCTGATGAAGGGGGAGCCTGACTCATCCATTTTTTTCATCCTTTTTTTTGGAGAAAGGCCGCCTTTTTTGGGGTGATGTGCGACTTAGCTACTTAGTAGTACTGATACCTCTGTTTCGAGTGATGCTTGAAGCGGCGACGAGGTCGACTTTGTCACACGGGAGCTACACGAAAACTTGCACAAGGACCAGAAAGAGAACTCACTTGGGCTTCAAACACTGCAATGCTACAGGTCGGTAGCCGCTAGCCTGTCCAGGATGGATCAACACATATGATATGAACACCCGCTAACACAAGCTGTCTCACTGTGAAGACACAGGGTTGTGATCCACAGCTGGCCATGATGAAGATGTTGAACAGCGAAGGATGGAAGCTCCTTTAGATTTAGCTGGTTCCCACCGGGGGAGAATGATAAGATATGCCACAGTGCCGCGGGGAGGAACTGCGAAGAACTGGCTCTCCAGCAGATGCTTTGCTTCAGGCGGACCTTGTGGATCCTTGTGGGCAAAGATGTTGTAAGGAGATGATGACATCACTTCAGATGATGGCTCTTACAGGGGGAATGATCCTCAAAAAAAGGGTGTTATTTTGGAGCAAAAAATGAGTTGTTCGGCATCTGCTTTGTGGTTCAAAAGTTTGGCTCTTGCGCAGTACCTTTCGGAATGGACACGGCAATGGAAGATCTCCACGTGCGATCCAGCGCCAGAACATCCCAGCCCTTCGCGGCCTCGCGGCGTCAGGCTTTCCGGCTGACGGATGAAGACATGCTCCGCAGGACTTCAGCTTGGAGCAGCTTCAGCGCTTGACAGAAATCCACCTTGGCTTAGTCCAAGAAAACCCATGGCTGTTGGATACTTGAGCAGTGGTTTTGATGATTAGTTCTGGTGCTTAGTTCGGGGGCTATACTATCTAAATCTATCCAATGTATTGGGGATTATCATGTTCAGTGTAGATGGTGTCAAGCTTCAAGCTAGGAGCATCACATCTTCTGGCTGCACGGCATGCTGCTGTTTACTGCAGGCAGGGATTGGAAGGTTCTCGTACATTTTCAGTGCTTGAAAGCCAACACATGCGGACATGCGGATCAGCAACTTCACAACACCACAGCATGCCCTGGTTGGTTCAACCCCTTGCCCCTAGAGGGTTGTACCGACTTTGGCCCAATCTTCTCCAACAAATCCGCAATACTCCGCATATTCATGTCGGAAAAATCTCTCAGAGTGCATGCATATACAGAAGCTTGTTCAATGTATTTTCTATGTTGAATGTCCCAAAAACAGATCCGTTTGTCGAATTTTGAACATCACCTGAATGGATTGAATGGATAGTGGAAAAGGATATCCTCAATTGCTGGATCATGGGACAGCCATCCTGTTCGAAGCTCCACCAGGATGAAGCCAGGGGGCGAGTGATCTACACCGCACACTTGGGTGACAGGTGGGTTTTCACCCAGGGCGGGAGTGAGACTCCGACATCCAACACAAATGGGCAATTTGGAGATACTCATCTGGTAATTTTACATCCCTTATGGAGAATTAAAGTGGCCAATGGACATGGATGATTTATATACCCCATTTCAAATGGTGATTTTTCATAGCCATGTCAGAGGGTATCTTCCGACCTTTGCGGTTCCATTGAGAGGCACAGGCAATCCTCAGTGGCACAGGCAATCCTGGCAATGGACCATTCGTTTTAGAATGGTCGGATCAGGGTACCTACCCATCAATCAAGGGGGATGTTGTAGATGTACAGATTGATTTTCTCCAAGTTGAGGATTTAGGATCCAGAGAGTACCACCTTTTTTTGGGTTGGGACGGTGCAAAGAAACGGGAGCCCACCACCTTTTTTGTTGGCAACCAGTCGAGCGGTTCTGGCGCGGAGTGGCAGCGCTACACGCATGACGTCCATGACCGACCACAAGGCCCCGGATCCTTCGGGGTGCCCACGGATTGCAGTTTCAATTTCAGGAGGTATGGGTGTGTCTGAAAATAGTGTACCCCTAAACCCAATGGTTAATGATCATTATCCCTATTAAATGGCTATAATGGGGAATATACCATATTTTCAGACAAACCCGTATCAGTATCAGTATCAGTATCAGCATTTGCATCAACAATTGCATGAGTCCAACATGACGATCATTCACTTCTAATGAGTCCAACTTCCACCTGACCTTGCCTTGCGGCTTCGCGATCAGAGCCATTTGGCTCAGTGGATGCTCCTCCCAATGGGTTGCTCGAGTTCAGCTCGAAAAGCGCAGAACCTCCTAGCGAAAGCGGGTCCCAACGTGCAAGAGACTCTCGGATGGTGGAAACAGAAATGGAGGGTCCCCCAAATAGAAATAGTTTAAACATGTTGGCGCCAAACCCCACGTTCGCCCACACCCGAAGAACACACCCAAACGATATCATATACTTGTCATCAGAGGATGAATGAAAACACTGGCTATACGCAGCGATTTTGACTTTAGGTTTTTAGGATTTAGGGTTTTGATTTAGGGTTTTTAGGCTTTTAGGGTTTTATGTTTTTTTTTTTTTTGTTTTAGGTTTTGGAAAGTAAAAAAACGCTAGCTCTACGCAGGGATTTGAGCATGTCAAGGGATATGCGGGATCCGATGCGGGCAAACGTGGGGTCTGCAGCGAACATGTTTAAACAGTTGAAAATCCATCTATGATTTGGGATGATTTCGGGCTACCCCCCATTTTAGGAAAACCTCCAAATGCGGCGATTAAAAGGGATTTAGAGTGATTGACATGCAAAGCCGTTCTGGGTGTGGCGGCTCGTTGGACTTGCCGGTGTTTGTTCGAAAAAACAAAGAGATTGACAGCAGCCACACCAGCTAGTTGTGCATACCACGTTCTTTTTGAAGTTGGCGTTTGCCTGCACGGAAACCAAGGACAGGAGACACCAAGACGCCAGAAATTTTGAAAGCCATTCCCATCCCAAAGCGTGGCGACAAAATTGATGGTGCAGATGTAGTAGACCTGAAGGTGCAAAGTTTTTCTGGGCATTAATGTGTCTCTCAGGTAACCATGGGAACATAGGGGAACCATTGTCATGGACATTCTGTTGGTCTTGCCATCAGGATCAAACGTCTGCATTTTCATGTCCTGGTGCTGATCTCATACTTTTGGAGCTGTTGCTCCCTCGAATTTGTAGCGTAGACCAGGCTGGTGTTCGCTACATGGGGCATACCAAAATTACTGGTTGGGAATAATCATCCCAACTGACTAATATTTTTCAGAGGGGTTGAAACCACCAACCAGATTAGATAGAGATTAATGGGATCTTGGTGTATCCATGGGTATCCCATCAGACAAAGCCATCTCGCTCTCAGGCAATTGACACTTTGAAGGAGATGGAGAGGTCATGGGACATCGAAGGTCCTGCCCCCTTTGATACGCAATTCGGTTTGCCAGCCCTGCCACCAGACCGCAGCATGCACGAGCTGCACCTCAAACAGCTCAACAACTACAAGAGATACATTGGGCGTCACCCCCAGTGCTTGCCCTTGGACGTCTTGAACAAGCGATGTCTTTTGCCTCAATTAAATTTGGAGCATTGCAAACTTCTTGGCTGCAAGCACAATGGAGTGATCCCGTTGCAGGTTTTCTTGTTGCAAAAGGGCTCGTTGTTGGGACAGACATATAGTACTGTAGGCTTTTATGATCTTTTATGTAGGCTTGGCGACTTGGGTTGTGTGGAATTTGCGTGTCACCGCTACCAAGGGAGGTTTGAGAGCCAGCACCAGGCTCTTAAACGAGAGGGATCGCGGAAGATCTTGGTGCAGGATGAAGAAGGCGCTACTGTAGTGAACCCCATCGTTGAACAACCGAAGGCCGCTGCAGACTGTGTTTTCTTCCAATGATTTTTTAATGGAATGGGTCCGGGTGAACAATTCCACTCCACCCGCTGCGCCAACGTTTTTTGCTTGGCTGGCTACAGGGTCAGCCTTCAGCCTTACCCCGATTTGGCAACCGTTTGGGCGATTTGTGCCGCAAGCGGACCAGGGTGAGCTTCCCAAGAGACGCCTCAGTGATCTCTAACTAGCTTTTCGTTTTTCTCGACTTGAGACTTCATTTGTAAGTCCGACATCTTCCACTTAAAGAGGGTTTTGAAGGACACACTCATGAGCTCATGCAGTTTTGGTCAGTTTTGTCAGGACTTGGAAATGAACCTAGAAATCATGTCGACATTTAGCATCATTGTGGCCGAACATGACTGAATAGTCACGAATAGTAGTTAAGTCTTTTTGGCGGAACCATGCCTCATAATTATTCTGCGAAACACTTTCGACCTGCGTGGTCCATGAGACAAAAAGGGCCACTTGAACTCCAGCAGCTGGGCCCAAGATCCCAATTTCCACGAGGATCACTTGAGGAGTGATAGGATTGGAATGGATTGGACATCATTTGACACTGATTTTAAGTCAGCTAGTCAGCTAGTCAGCTAGTCCTGGTCATAGTGGACGTCTGGATTTCCCAGACTTCTTCACGGAGTTGATGGGTGGAAAATTTTTTCGTTGCCCCTTTTTTGGACGGGAAGAATTAAGACATTTATAAGACATTTAGCCTCTGGTTATGACTAACATAGCCATCGAAATTCACCATTTTTAAGAGGTAAACCATCTATATAAAACCATCTATAAATGGGCCATTTCCCAATAATATACCTACTGGGTGTGTCTTAAATTTCCTTCGAGACATTGATACACCGACTTGATTTCGCTCTCGGAGGCGACAGATCCTCTGGAAGCCAAGCGCGTCATCGAAGCAGGCGAAGCATGGGATGCTGGGCCATTGGGCAAAGGTGATGTAACCGATGAAACACGGGGATATAACCTATGTATACCTATATGTTATATAGGATACATGGGGATATAACTGATATAACCCCAAAAAATACCAGGAAACATATGGGGATGTAACAGCTATGCAAGTGGAGACGTGGAGGATAAACTCCAAACATGGGATAGTTCAACCTGCTGTGGCCTGAAATTTTGACAGTATGCCAACAGATTTTGGGATACTGGGATACCCAGTCTGGGATCTGCAGATGATGCTTGGACAAGACCACGGCATTCAAAAAAAACATGTGTTTTTTTCCATGAATTTTCCATCCCTTGTGCGTTTGAAAATCATAGGAAGCCGCGCCAATTTCCGCAGGTGGGCACATCATCAATGATCGTGTGAACGGCATGTATCTTGCTGGCACTTCCTGGGTCCCCACTGCTGATCATGGCAGTTCTGGGTGTCGGCCAAGGTTAGCCATGACACGGGCACTTGGTGATCACATGCTCAAGATGCCGGCCAGGACCTTGGTGCGTGGCTCTCCAGAAAGTTGACCAACAGTTCAAGACAGATCCTTCTCCGAACAGGTTTTGGTTACCCTCCAGTCAACATGGCAATGGAAAATCATCCTTTATGGATGACTTTCCCATCAACACCTCCATTAGTTTTTTTTTTTTAAACCATTACCATGTTTGATTCCCAGAGCGTGCGCAAACTGCCCTGAGATGCTGCCAAATGATGTGGTGAGTAACGTGCCGGACATCACTTCTACGGATGTCACCAAGCAGGACCCAATTGGATTGGAGCAGGGATCTGCAAACTTTCCAAGGGGTATCTTGTACCCTTCGCAGACTGGGCACCAACAGGAATTGGTGGTTAAGAGATAGGCTGAAACTCAGAAACACATAGGGACATCAAGCAGCTTCGACCTGGCACTGGCATAGTGTGAAGCGCCAGCGCCGTTGGTTTGTCAGTCTCAAGGCCTCACGAGAACAACTCTTTGGAGGATCATGCAATCTAACTGAGTGCACTACTGATCATCTAATATCAGTATCACGTAAATTCATGTAATACTTAGCTGTGCTCACTGTTCATGCTGTTCTTGCGGATGGCAAGGAGTATACAAACGCAAAGGTGTTTTTCCGCAGCATTTAAGCCTCAAGTGATTACCAGCAGAATCTGATGGAGTCAGGGTCTTTTCTAAGCCATGTTTGGCTGCAGCCTTATACCCTGGCGGCGCCGTCTGTTGTTGGAATCTGGAGACATCAGTGCTTTTCTCGTAGACACTCGAGAGACTGGATTGAGACGAGGATAGCAACGGTCGCCATACTTGCAGCCTGGCACAATATTGAAATCTTGTGGAAGAGCCACTACTATTACCCCAAAGCATGATCTGCAGACTGTAAAAGTCAGATTTTCCATGAAGAACTCGGAAACATGTCGCAGCGTTCTCTGGTGTTTTGTTTTTCTCGAGGTTTTCGGTTCCCGTGTCAAAATGGCCGCGTTTGATGGGTAAATCATCTACAAATGGGTCATTTTCCATGGCTTTGTTACATTCCCAGACGGGACATGCTATTGCATGACTTTCCCTGAGGTTTGCTGGGCCAGGCATTCCACGAAACCGGGCTGTCGGTCACGTTCCCGGCACTTGGTGTCGGCCGAGGAGCCACGGCTGTTGGCCCGGACGGAGGATTTGGCCTTGACCTGGAAACCCCAAGGATGGAGCGATGGCGGAAGATCTTCTGATTCGAAGGATTTTCTGGCATGGGCAAAAAGGGCCATCTGGAGGAATGAAAATGAGCTGTTTCCGCTCTTCAGATTGGGAAGAGCAAGCTGTGGAGTCAGTCTCGTGGCCGGCTCCAGCGATGCTAGAGATGTCGCAAGGCAAATGCAGGCTGAAGGACTTCTGGTCCGAGACTCAGTGGGCTGGAGAAGGCTTCGATGGCCCAACTTATCTGGGAATGCCAGTTTCAACCAGGATCAACCAGCATGTATTCAATGCTGGCCCCGCGACAGTCTTCAGTTGACTTACATCACGATGTAACATGTTGTAACTGGTGCAATCCTTAGAACATTTTATAACTTATAACTTATAACCTATTTACAACTGGGTAGGCATAAGTCACAAGTATTGTAGCTGTGAATAGTTGCTAATTGTTCATACCGCCGAATCGCTGGCCAAATATTGGTTGGGTGGGTCAAGGTCCTGTGAGATAGTTTTTGGGTATGCGTGCTTACAAAGTCATCAAAAGAATCAGACATTCACTTCAAACCAAATACATCATGAACGTTTTGTTGATTGACACACACACACACACACTGTAGATATTGTATATATGTATAATATTATATATTATATAAACATATACAGATACACACACACATACCCTCTGGTAAACTAACATAGCTATGGAAAATCACCATTTTTAATGGGAAAACTCACTATAAATGGCCATTTTCAATAGCTATGTTAGTTTACCAGAGGGTATATATATATATATGTTGATCGATCTAAAGGTCCTTGTAAAGAGTTTTAATTGCGAAGACCGTTTATATTATATATATACATACACATCATGTATAGGATGGTACTAGTACAATAAGTCAACTCACCACAGAAATTCTCCAGGTGATGAGTTGTGCTTTGCTGGTGGCTGGCAGACCACCTGGGCTCTCCGGTGCGATCTCATTGGAGGTGCTTCGATCCTCGCGGGGGCTGCGATTCTTGGCGGATCTGAACGGATCCGTCGTTCTGAGTGAACGATGAGATAAAATTGGGGAATTTTGGGGGATAGAATGGGGACATCGTGAATATCTATCTATTTTTGTTGGTAATATGGGAATATCTATATTTTGATGGGAATAAAATTGGGAATATCAATCTATATAGTTATTTATATTTAATATATATATATACATCTCGATAGATATCCATACGTACACATAAGCAACAAGCTGAGCTTGGGATTTTCTGGGAATTGCTGAACGCTAATTAGTGGGGTAAGCCTATAATATAATGATGAAGCTCCAATTTTGGGATGGTATACAGCCCTTTTCTGCCATCAAGGTGGGGATGAACATCAATAATAATTTCTATGGCGTGAAACCTTGCGAAACGTGGAGATGATAGACGCACCAATTGATGATAGAGGCTCGTTTTTCTTAGCCGCAGAACAGAGTGTATAGATTGAGGATAAGTCGCAACTATCGGCCAGATGGCATTTGCGGTGACCCAAAGGACCCAAAGGGTGAAACTCTGTGGTTGAGGACATGGACAGCTCAGCTTGGTCAGAGCGAGGGTGACGTCTGACAACAGCAGCATGGGCCTCTTGAAACTGCGGGCTTTGCTCAGAGAACTGGGGCATCCACCGAGAGGTCCTGGTGGTGGAAAGGCGCCAGATGTTTCGACCTTCAATGGATGTGATAGGGGGAACAGACAGTTTTGAGAGTAAGAGCCAGGAGACGTTTTGAGATTACTAAAGCCATCTCAAGACTGTTGGGTTTAGCCATCTTCATGCGCAAAAATCTTCACGCTGTGGTACTGGTGATATTCTTACCCCAGGCTACTTGTCGTTGCGAGTTTTCATCTCCAACTTCTCAACCGTAGCAGTCATACTAATGGTTTGGCAAACCAACCATTCGGATATTTTACTTCTGGAAACAGCTTTGTGCTGGTGATCCCCGATTGATGCCAGGATCATTTCTGAATGGTATCCTTTCCAATGGCTGCTATATAATTGGTCTGGCTTCCAATCACCCATAAAGCCCCATGAAATCCCTGCGGTATTCATGTCCGGCCAGGCCTGGAACTCTCAGCTCACCATCGACGGCCTCACGCTGCCAGGGCTTCGGGCGTCGGTGCCAGTGGAGCACCTGGAGCACTTGCAGAAGTTCATGGAGGTGGACGCCTTGCGGCTGGAGAGGCTGCCATGTTTCTTTGGGTTTTGCATATTTTGAATGGGATCTTTCCTCAGCGTCCGTTAGATGTTAGCTTAGGGGTCTCAGCCCAAACAAAGGTTCGGTGCTTCCAGTGCGGGTTCCGGGCTGGTTCCGAGATGTTCCGGAGGTTCCAGTGTGGGTTCTGGGATGGTAGGTTCCGGGTTCGGGGGTTCCGATGTGTTGGTTCTGGTATGGGTTCCGATGTGGGTTTCGGGATTGGTTTTTTTTTTTTCGGGATTGGTTTCGGGATTGGTGTTTGCTGGTTCTGGAGATTTTGGTGCAGGTTCCGTAGGTCCTTGGGTGGTTGTAGTGTGGTGGTTCCGGAGGTTTCAGCGTGGGATAGGCGTTCACTGGCTGCTGCCACTCTTTCCTTCTTTTGCTGTTGGGGATACTGCCTAGGCATATTTGGATTTGTTGATCAATTTTGACACATAGGAAAAGATGGAAAAGGGATGATATTACCACTCAGCTTCTGAGGGTTTTGATCGGGGATTTATCCCAAGTCATCAATTTGTGGCCAGGACAGTAGAAACATGGGGAAAACTATAGGGGAAAGCCGATGATGGATGTTGATGAACCATAGATTTGTTTAAGGTTCAAATATTGGGACAAGCCCATTTTGGTACGGTTGACCCGTCCTTGGGATACCGTGCATCACCGCCATCCTGGATTTCTGTAATCTTTGTACCCAACTAGGATTCGACAATTCTATCTTGTTGGGGGTTACTACATTCTAATCCAATATGCAAAGATCGGAACCCACAGCAGTCAATGAGGCAATAGAAGGGATGACAGAGGGTCTTCCGCACCGCTCACATAAATTAGGCTTCTTCCTGCAAGAAATTCGCAAATGTTACCAATCATTGACCTGGAACATCAGGGAATGTGTTTGGCCATGTTTGGTGTTGTTTTAGATCTGATATATTTGGGAAGACCTGAAAATTTCAGGGTGCTCATCAACCTGGGGAAGGGAGGCCTGACCGAGCATAGGTGCCCTTGAAGTGTGTTCTGAGTCGCTGATGTGTTGTTTGTATGTGTTAGAGAGCCGTGCAGATATGTGAAGTAGGTGCGTATAGATGCATACATGGAATATGATTGTATGTAAACACGCACACGACGAATACCTTTTTAATCCTTTTTACAAGAGCTGGGTGTCAAGTAGTACTCCAAATGGCCCAATGGCACCTGCATTGATTCCAGATTTGCCAGGTACCATGGCCCGGTGACTTCCAAGAGCCTCTTCGATGCACACGGCAATGGCTGGATGATCTTTGAGGGATTGCGCTTGAAGCTGCGCTCCGATGTCTTTGTGCCTCGAGGAGAAAGTCGACATTTGGTCCATGCGGCCACCAGACGCTGGGTCAAACTAGATGCCGGCGTGGCGAGCTATGGCGAGGGTACAGCTTTTTTGAAGGTGAAAGAACGCACTGCATGTGGGACAGATTGTTCAGTAAGAACAAGCTGCAGCCAAAATATTTGATGGAAGTCAGATCTGCTGTAAGATGATCTAAGAATATCTAAGATCTAACCATGATATTTCATGGTGATCTAAGGAGTCATAGAGCAACACTTTGTCATCAGCGCTGATCTTCGCCTGCTGGATGTAACCATTGGTGTGGGAAATGGACTGTTGCCACTGCTGAAGAGGCCCTGCTGATGTGGCTAACCAGAAAGGAATATGGATATAACTTAATAATACTTAATAGCTTGGGGATATAATGGATATGGACTTGGGAATATGGCTATAACTGATATACATCCATATACTTATTGGACTGTGGTTCTTCTGGGACTTGAAGACTTGAAGATTTGATCTTCACTTCTGGTGATACGATGTGAACTAAGACACCCCCCACAAAAATGCTCCCCGATGATATAAGAACCAGATCTGCGCTACTAAACTTCGTGATGGTAGCCGTAACCTCACGTCTATGGATATATATCTAGTAGATATGTACTCAATGTAGAACATTCATATAGCACATAATAAATGAATAGATAAAACATATGGGGGTCGTTCCAAAACCCTCCCCTTAAATTTAAAAAAGCTGGTTTGTTGAGAACTTTTGGCTACCTTAAAACCTGCATCGCGCAAGTTTCGCGAAAGGCTGGCCGAAGGTTTTGCGCAAGGGAATTGTACAGTGGTATGTAATGTTTCTTCAACATGCTCTTGTATGCTTGCGTGACAATTCTGCATCTGATTTTTGTTTGTTGCACTGGCAGTCTCATGAAAATCCTGTGCCAAAGTCCCCCCGTAGGAAAACAAGAACGTAAATTAACAATAAGCCACAATCCTGCCAAAGAGATAATTTGGCGCAAGAAACGCGCCAGCTTCAGGCCCAAAGTTGACCCGTAGTCCATGTCGCCTGGTCAAACACAAACATGCACATGGATATACAATGTGTAAAGAGGTAAAAAGAGGAAGGTGTAGTTTCTGCTCAGATACGCAGACACGCAGACACATATTCGTATACTAGGACTACACGAAAACGAGCGCGAATACGGGGCACGAAAACATGTGCAACCAACAACTCTAGCGGGACTGTGGTTGCTCAAGATATGCGCAAGGCTCGCTCCAGGCCGGCCCAAGAGCAACTTTTGGGCAAAAAAGAAAAGAACCACCCCCCTATCATGCAGCACCAGTTATAAATTAGTTATACTTGTAACATGCCTTTCTCAATGGGTAAAACTGGCGCCAGGTATCCATTGGCCGAGGGTTGGGGCATTGACATCAACCCCACTGCCGTGCGATTAGCCGACGAGAACGCCAAGCTGAACGACCTAGCGGACCGTCACCTGAATCCACTGGTGAAGCATCATGGGGTCTGAAAATAGAATATACCCAATATATATACCTAATATATACCCAATATGTACCCAATATATGGCTATTTTCATGGGAAAATGATCAACCAGCTTTTTTTTTTGGGTACCCTATGGTTAGACGCTTAGCCTCATTATTCCCAATGAATTCGCCCGCCTTGGGGATAATCAGCTCCATTTTTTGAAGACAGACCCATATGAAGCTAAATAGGCAAGCAAACATGGATGTTTAATGATGTTTATACCTTTATTTGGGCATGTTTGTAGACTTTTCTGCCGATTTGGGACTTGGGATGCTGATTTGTCCATTGTCAGGTATCCAAAACCCTGCAGGGTTTCAGTTCCATGATTCAATTCCCAGGTTGCTCCATGGAAGTGAAAGACTTGAAAAATTGGACTTTGTCGAGGACGGTTGACACTGGAGGGAATCTCACCAACCTCTACGATTTGGTCATTGCCAATCCTCCGTACTCCTCCAGCAGAGCAGAACGTATGAAGAGCTATCAGCGAGACATGGATGCCGAATCGTCCAGTGGTAGTCAGTCCCGTGGCATTGTTACTGTCTGATGGTCATCCATCCATCAACAGGGATTTGCGTACCCATTATGTTTGGATTCCTACTGTGGGATGATGTACAAAAAAGTAGGTCGCTCTCTGGACGTGTTGCAATCGATACATATAATGTAATCCTTGGATGCAATGGGCATGATGCATGTAGAGACCGATTGCATGTCCTTCATTTTCATAGGTGCAGGTGGAATGGATACACAGCGCAAGATACCATGTCATTCTATTTTTTGCCTAAGGCAATGTGTCCACAAACTGAAATGCGTTGTTTTATGGACCCGCGAACATTCGGCCAACCAGCGCTTAAGCCGGTGGGCCGGTGGGCCCACCATCGGGAAACAGTGAAGCTTGTCCCATGGGACATGATGGACATGTGTCTCAAACAAGACAGATGATTAAAGGCCAAGCTGCATGTGAATTTTTGGTACAGTTGTGAAGGGCTACATCCCCCAAGGTGTCCTTCTTGGGGGTAGTGGATATCCCAACTCTTGGGGCTGCGGCCTCAACATCTTCAACTACCATGGTTATACCATGTTATACCATGTTATACCGTTGTACCGTAAGTTATACCATCTTATACATTCTTATGCCATCTTCCATTTAAGTCATCCCAACCCCAAAGTTCCACAAAGTGCTGAGGTCGATTTTGGTTTCCATTGCTCAGCTGGCCCTTTCAGCCTTAGCGCCATCTGGACGGCTTGTGCTCCAAGTTCCTCGTGAAGAGACCACGAGACTGAGCAGCAGTGCGCAGGGATGCATCGGATGGGACATATTGATACGTGCTTAAAGAATGATGATGATGATGATGGTGGTGGTGGTGATGATGATGATGACGATGATGATGACGATGATGATGATGGTGGTGGTGGTGATGATGATGATGATGGTGGTGGTGATGATGATGATGACGATGATGATGATGGTGGTGGTGGTGATGATGATGATGATGGTGATGATGACGGTGATGATCACTATTATTATGATGCTGTGTTCTTTTGTCCAACTTACAAACCAAACCAACACCGAGCTAGGATCTCAAGTGAAACTCGACTTCGTTTTCTTGGATTCGCTTTCTGTGAAGGAATGCACATGCTCAACTCCTTGAGACAATTGGTGTGACGATGACATGCAGAGCTTGCATTGGGCCATAATTAGATGTGCAATCTGCAGAAGCAAATCGCAAGTCAGGATGCAAGCAGCTCATGGCTGCTCATAGGCAATGTTTGACGCCCAACTTCACTGTCACTTAATCCTGCAACAAATCACTAGGAGGTCATCACTGTCCTGTTTAGCCAAGGATCATTGCTTGCATTTTTCGCTTGCATGGAGAGTTTGTCCTTGAATCGAAGACAACGAACACGTTGACGCTCGCTTTGGGAGAGAAACCAGTACGAGTGTTGGCATGACAAGAAGGTATCATAAGGTATCTATTCTGACTAAAACTGTTTGCACTGTAGGATCTTCATGGACAGACGGTCACGCTGCAAATAGCATCGCAACCAGGTATAACCAGGCAATTCTCACCGTGTCAGCTTAGTGTTTAGGACCTATGCAGTGACGAAGAGCAACATGGGGCCACACATGGTTTCTCCATTTTTTATTGGATGTGTGAAGGACTCCCATAATATCCGCCGGCATGTGTTAAATAGGAACTAAGTAGCAGGAAAAAGGTGATGAGAATGTTGGTGTTGGTATTGGTGTGGTGGGGCCGACCTTGACAATGACGGTGACGTCGTTCTTGATATCCGTTTTGGTGTTAGTGCCAAAGAAAGTCAAACACATCGCGCAGGGGCCTTGGGGAACAACTTGGTGGGTGATTGAAGGCCATGATGGCTCAAGAACCAGGAAACACTAGACCTGGAAAAAGGTGCTGTTTTGCTCAATCCAAAAAAAAACAGTGTCGTTCTGTCCTCAGAGCGAGTCTTTCGTGACACGAGCAGAGTCAAGGGAACAGCAAAGTCCTCAGCCCGCAGATGAAGCAGCGAATTATTCCAGCCCATTGATGTAGTAATACAGTACCCCCTGAGGAAAAGTTGAAACAGGCTTACATCCCCAACTCCGCCAATTCCAATGAGGTCCATAAGTGGCATGCGTTTTGTCTATGACGTCCTCCTGAGCCACTGAGTAGACAACGGGGGGCCAGGGATTTGCTGGAGATCGTGGCCTATTTGGTGGTTGCTTCTACGTACTTCTTGATGTCCATCCCTATTCAAAGTTACCAAAGTGATCATCCCCACCTTCATATATTTTTCAGAAGGGTCGAAACTCGAAACCACCAGCAAATTCTGTTTCCACTTATTGTTGATATGGTTGGTAGTTAGTAGTTATTACATGTTATTACTGTATCCTCATTTTTTTTTTGGGGTACTCGAGTTGTACCAACCATTTCTGCTGCTTCAAGCAGATTGTTGCTTCACATCCTCCAACTTGTTGCCCCAGGTTTGATTCACCTGACTGCAGCCTGGCCCATCACCCGCCACAGCTTGCAGGTGGTCCTGGTCATCTGGGGAAACCCCCGAAAGTGGGTGATTTTCAAAAGAGAATTGGCTATGGATCAATACCTATGAAAATACCATTTTTAGTGGGATGAACATCCATTTTAACCCAGCTATTTTGAGGTGAACAGAAGGGGTACAAGGTTTTGACACACTGCCAATTCATCAACAAGATTAAGGACCCGTATCACTTCTGATATCACTGATATCAACAAAAAATAAACATGACGAGTAGAGTTACGAAAGTGGGATGGTTTTTTCTTTACACGATGCCAATGTGGTTCGCAGACCTTCAAGTTTGACCCGTGCTTGAATAACTCCATTTATGGAATTTTATGGAGACGCACTTGATTTTCCCCCGGTCGCATCCGCCCCAGATCTCTGACCAGCCACGGTTGGTTCGCAAAGAAACGCACGGTCAGCACCTCAGTCCATTCCGCGCAAACCACAGAAGATTGGTAATTTCTTGGTGTTGCAATTTGTTCATCACACGAGAGGCTTGTCTTTCTTTTCCCCATTGAATCCCCAGAAAATAGATCAACACGGAACCTGACAAGACATATTCTGCTCCGGGTGTAGGCTACCATGCAGACTACGTAGGTTGCGCAGGCGTTGCCATAGGCTCGTTTAGCCTACACCCAGTGGATCGCGTAGGCATCCCGTGAACTCTCTCGGCTACAGTACTCGTACCTCATGCAATGGCGTAGGCTCGGCATAGGACTTTGAATAGGTCATAAGTCATATGCTACTGGTCACCCAAAAAGCAAGGATAAAGACACTACAGGAGGTGAGACCTGGCTCAAACTGTAGTCGCAGGTCAGGACGGAAAAAAACACACCAAATGACATGACCAAACCTTTGGTTTCCAACCAACATGGCGATAGTTTGCTAGATCATCTAGATCAGTACTCCAGGGGGAAACAACATAGCAAAAAAAACATAGAAAACAACTTATATAAATGATATCAAACCATAGTAACATAGTAAAACACTACAGTTTGGCTCCAACACCCTTGGTCTTTCTTCACCGTGCTGAGGACATGGTGACGCCGACAGCTTCGCCTCCCTCGATGATGATGGCCGCCTAACGTGAAAATATCGATGATGGGGGATGCAGTGAAAAGATGGGATGGGGATGTGTCCAAAACAATAGCATTCTACTATATTCTACTGATGTCTATCATATCCCATAACATCCCATAACCAAAACTATTTTCATAACCTTTTTTTCATCTACCCCCCTGTAACATTCCAAAACCACAACCATTTCATAACCATATTTGGGGGTTGACTGATGATAAACGTTTTGTTTGTCCATTTTGATGTTCGCAGGGGTACCAGGGTTTAAACCCATGGCCACTTGACATGACTCAATCATGACAGGGTGACATGATATGATTGTTGGTAAAATTAGTAAAGTTGTATCTATGATTGCTATGATATGATTGATATGATATGATATGTATTAGTAAAATTAGTGACATGATATGATATGATTGCTCTGAAAACCCACATTCTAGGTGGTTTGTCTCAGAGTCAAACAACGTCTGCATACAGCAGCCAGCAAAAATCCGGTGTGCTTTTTGAAAGTGATCGGCAACACATTCCGCCTGCATAGGGCATGATGCTGCAATTGAATAATTTCTGGATGAGGGACACATTTCAGGTGTCGCCATCAAGGCCTCTATGGATTTTGATCAGCTGATCCAGCTGTTTTGGTGGAATTTGCTTGGACATCTGCTGAAAATCCAAGGTTCTGTCAGCTGGCTGGCGCCATGGCCGCAACAAATTCCCATTCGTGGGAAGTCGGAAACATCCTGGAACCTCAAGTAATCAAATGTTCCTGGCATGTTTCCGAACGAACATTTTTTCAGATAATTCTTTCTTAGGGCTTTCAGTATGGTCTTCAAATGGCTTTGAAGTTTCGACTCTGTTCAGACACTGCATGGCACTGCAAGGAGGAGAGAACACGCCCCAGATTGAAGACTCGGGAGCTGGGAACCACAGAAATTTAGGATCTTCTCGCTGCTGGAATGATCATCCTACTTCACTCCTTTTTTCACAGGAGAACAATGGATAACATTGATATACATTGATAACATCAGAACAAAGGCAGGTTGGCTCCGGACTTCGTCACTTCGTCTTTCCATGTCTTTCCCCATCCTGGACGACTCAGACTCAGCTGCGAGCCCTCCGCTGAGGGCGGTGATCGGTGCAGAGGGCCCGAAAGGTGATCAGGGAGATCCAGGTGACCCAGGAGTGAAGGGCCCCACTGGTCCGGACTCCCAGCCTGTGACCCCTTCAGTTACTGGAGGAAAAAGTGGCATCATCCGATGTTTTCACAGGTCACCAGGTGTCAGGTGTCAGTGGATCTCAAACCATGCTTCACTTAGCTTCAGGCAAGAAGGGACCTCAAGGGGATCGAGGCAAGGTCGGATTCTTCCCCATGAAGTTGGCTTCGAGATGTCAGTCATCAATTTAAACAGATGTTAAATTCATTTTATAGGCGGACTTGCCTCTTCTCCAGTGTCCTTCCACTTTTTTTGGGCAATTTTAGACATATAAATCATCATATATAAATCATCCATACTGCATGTTTCATCCATGTTTGTAGTTGTATTATAAATGAACTATTGCACCTAAATTTTTTATCCATTTCAGACAGTGTCACAGGATCAGCATCATGTCTCACGACAGGCCCCCAGGGGCAGCAAGGAGATCCAGGCTGGATGCCTTGAAAAGATGGGAGAAAGCCACACATCAACTTTCATAGCATGGTGATCTACCCGACCAAAATGGGATTGATACTAGTTCAGAGATTATGTTGAAGTATGTTGCTCTGATTTTTTTCAGCAAAACATAGGGATTCAAAGTTCCGAGCCTGTGATCTTTCGTGTGAATGAGGGAGTTGAACATCCACAACTGCTGGAGAATGATGAGGCTACAGTAGCTATTGTAGCGTGAACTAAAAGGGATTCGAGGGTGAACTTGCCCACAAGCTGATTATGAATGGCAAGACTTCTGGTGGGATGGACTTCGGCGAGAAACAAAAGAGGATTAATTAGGAAAGTCTTTGGACACTCCCTTTTTTTCAACAACCTATACTTGGGGGTGCACTTAAGGTTATTATACAATGAGTTATTGCCACGATACCTATGACTAGATATGGTTATATACCCATTTGTAGACCCAACTGCACCTGTAGGAAGATGGTATTTACGGTAAATCCCACACCAAATCGGCTGTTGCTACACCAGGTGAGCCAGGTACACCACCGGAAATTCCCACACCGCCTGCAGGACGGCTGGGAATAGGATTTGGATGGATTTGGGATACCCTGGCAGGCGTTGAGCTATTGACGCACTGGGATTGTACCACACCAGCTACCCTCCGGAAATCTAACAAGCTATGGTAGAATGGTGCATTCATACGTTCATAGATGATTTACGTATAAACATGGTGATGTTCCATAGCTATATTAAAATCATGTGAGGGTAGTTGCCTTATGTTGCCTTACATTTTTTCAAGCTGACGTGCCGCGAGGATCTGCTGATGTCAACATGATTGGAGCAGCGGTTGCAATTCACATCACGGTGCTGGGGATTCTCTACATGCAAGTCGTGCCCCTGGAAGTGTCACAGCAACGCTCAACCCTTGCAGACATCTTTAAACCTTGCTGTAGCTGTTAACAAAAATCTCTTGACCAAAAGTTATAAAAGTTGGCTCACATCCTGAAATGACCCTGACGCATCTATGTCGAGCGATTTTCTGCCGTGGGATTCCGTGGGACGAGGTGCAATCGAAGATGGACGATGCGAAGCCTAAAAAGGCGCAGCGGGGGGCAGTTAGCTGTGCTAAAAAATTGTGGAGTTGCAGTTGTGATCATGGCAGGTGCCTACACATAACAGAAATAATAACTGAAATAGATTAAATACATAAACAAAGTTGTATATATATAATATATTAATATATATATATATATAATAGTATAGAACTGATTCCTGAAGCTGCAAAGCTGAGGGCAGCAGTTGTGAACATCTCTTTTGCAGCGGCGTGGGACGTCCAGAGGCCATGGATACTGAGGGAACGGAGGCAGAGGGCTTCGAAGAGGGTGAAGTGGTGGAGGACGGAGCTTTCCCATGCGGGTACCCCCAAATCATCCAAAATTAAAATTTATTTGGATGTTCATTGAGGCACCAAGGTGATGATCCACGGCCATATAAGGCCTTATATATGTGTGTGTATACGACTATATATATTTTTAGTATTGAAAGCTATGGTGACTTGGGGATACCACATTTTAAGACACCTCCACATGTAGAAGATCTCAAGATGTGAAGGGGGCTTGGCTTTACTTGGCTCTTGTTGTTAGGTGGGCACTCCGAAATTTGCCCCTTGTCAGAATTGCAACGATATTCATTGTATAGCGGCATAGGGCAATAGATGCCCGAAGTTCACAGCCTGCAGGAGGAAGCTGTTGCTGAAGAACAGCCTGAGGAAGCTGAGGCAGTTGCGACCTGACAAGATGAGTGTGTCTCATGTCCAACATCCCCAGAGGGGATGGAATGCTAGAGGGGATGCAACCCAGATGAGACGTCCACAGCTGTCACAGCTGCCCCCTGCAGCGGAAAAAGGAGTTGGGTTGAGAGAATTTGGGGATTACCATTGGTTATGGATGAGGGCGGGCAAAATCAGTGTCACGGTGCATGGTATTCCATGGTATTCAGGATGGTACCAAGTAGCAACCAGTAGCTGGCATTAGCTTCACCAGGTGCACCGGGTTCATTTCCTTCCTGCTTAACCCACAGGTATCTGCTGAAGGACAAAAAAGCCTAGAAAAAGCTACCAAGAAGTGTGTGTGATGCCAAGTGGTTGCAATCCCTGCACCAAACTTGGGATATTGATGGATATTGTACGTATATTCAAGTGGACAAGACATGCAATTCCTGGTGTGTTGATTCTTGGTCAAGTTTGAGTTGCAGCATTTTGGTATCAATTGTATTTTGAATAGATTTGATAGATCCCGTGCTTGTTCAATGGCCCAATGTCGTACCTTTGGCTAACCATGGTGGGTAGCACTGCTTTTATCGCAGCCAAGACGTGACCCCCAGGACTCCTTCATCATTTTGGCCTGCGATGGCGTTTGGGACGTCATCAATGATCAGCAGGTTTGCAGTGACAAGGGCGTAAGAAAGCGCGTTTCGGGAGTGTTTAATGTTTGGGGGAGGGAGTACGGAGTGTACTATAGTTTTGCCCATATTTGTAGAAGGATTCTACTAAATTATTGCTGCTATGACCCATCGCCCGTCGTGTCTCAGGTTGCTTTGTGAAAACATATTAGATCCGATTACTGCAGTAGAATCCATATGAATCGAAGATATTAGATATTATGGAATATGACCGGATTCCTAATAATCCATTTACATCCATTTACTATTAATAATCCTATTCAGTAATCTAAGGAAGTTTAGAAGTCAAACTTCCGACAATATGGACAGATGAAGCAGCTGAGGTGGGAAGAGTCAGAGAAGAGCAGAGAAGAAGAAAGAAGATCAGACAGGAGAACGATCAGAAGAAAGAATGAAATGAGAGATCAACAGTTGCACGCCGCTGTGGCGCGAAGCACATTTAGAAGTGAAAATAGTCAAAACTCCGAGTCACTTTTCGCAGTTGAGGTGTTGAAAAAGTGCAGGCCATTGTGACACAAAGCACATTTCGAAGTGAACATAATCAAAACACTTCAGCTCCGAGTCACTTTTCGCAGTTGAGATGATCAAAAAGTGCACGCCGTTGTGGCGCGAAGCACATTTCGAAGTTAAAATGTGCAAAGCACACCACGTTCGGAGCACTTTTGGAGGTTGCGATGTTGAAAAGTGCA